CAGGTGCTGGTATCCAATGTCACATTTGTCTGAGCTGAGGAGTATTGGTTATTCTCTCATTTCTTCTTTGCCATTTGGTTGCTTCTATCCCCTAGCTCACCTCCACTCTTCAAAAATAGTTTTCACATTAGGCTGTCATGGAGAGCACAAAAGGAACCTGTAACTTTAAAATTGGATCTATTGAATGGGAAGAGATGAAAAGTATCTTCAAGAAGGAGAGACGACATAACTAGTAGAAAGTGTACAGATTTTAAAATGACAGAATACACTGTCTCTGCCACCTACACATTTCTGTGTTCTCTTACCAGCTATTAACCATTCTGCATCAGTTTTCTGTTCCATAAAAATGGATTTGCTCTTACCTTAAAAAGTAATTTTAAGCTCTAAATGAAATGCTCTAGGCAAGTAGAGGGCTTAGCATAAATAGGTTCCCAATAAATATGATGCCTCCTTTGCTGTTGGCTATCATCAGTGGAGAGAAGCACACATTCAAAACACGCAATCTTGAACTTCAGTGTATTGACTGTCACTGGACATCCTTAACCCAGATGAACTAATACACAGTTAGGATTTTTTGTCTATTTTTCAAAGTGGAAGATATTAATGACTAACAAAATGTCTGCACAATAGAGGTTAGTCAAAAATAATAGCTTCTTAAGCTTTTAGGAAAGCAATTGAGTATTGCAAGTATCTGGGACAAAGCTCAAGACATCAGATTAAAGCCTTTGTTGTTACATGCTATGCATGCTCCAGCTTGCTTTTCAACAGTCATTGCTATGAAATCATTTTTCTCTCTCACACACGTCTAATGAAGTCATGTTCATGATCAGATTAATCACAGGATGTCGTAGAGTACACATTTAGACAGGAAAACTGTATAAACTGAAACATTCCTCAAATATATAATTTTAGGAAAAGTTCATTGTGTCTTGAGTGTGACAATCTTTGGCTTGAATTCTTTTATGCATATTTAGCATTTTAAGATAGACTTTTGGTAGCGGTTAACAAAATAACGACTTTTAGGCAAAATTCATTTCTAGCAAGTGTAGTGTTGAACAATTACAAAGTCAGCAAAATCTGAACCATCTGAATTAATTGACATCTTCAGAACACTCCACCCCAAAGCCGCAGAATATACATTCTTCTCAAGTGCACATGGGACATTCTCAAAGATAGACCACATTTTGGGACATAGGCAAAGTCTCTTCAAATTTAAGAAGATAGAAATCGTATCAAGTATCTTCTCAGACCATAATGGCATAAAACTGGAAATTAACTACAATAAAAATAATCCAAAGAAATCAAACACATGGAGATTAAACAGCATGCTATTAAACAAGGACTGGGTTACCAGAGAAATCAAGGAAGAAATTAAAAACATCCTGGCAACAAATGACAATGAAAACACAACAATCCAAAATCTATGGGACACAGCAAAAGCAGTTTTGAGAGGGAAGTTCATATCCTTACAAGCCTATTGCAAAAAACTAGAAAAAAGGGTAACAGATGATCTAACTCTACAACTCAAAGAATTAGAAAAGGAGCAACAAGAAAAGCCCAGTGTAAGCAGAAGGAAGGAAATAACAAAAATCAGAGCACAGATAAACGACATAGAGACCAAAAAAACAATACATAAGATCAACAAAACCAAGAGCTGGTTTTTTGAAAGAATAAACAAGATAGATGAACCTCTAGCCAGGCTAACCAAGAAACAAAGAGAGAGGACCCAAATAAACAAAATCAGAAATGAAAGAGGTGAAATAACAACAGACCCCACCGAAATACAACAGATTGTTACAAAATACTACGAACAACTCTATTCCAACAAACTGAACAACCTGGACGAAATGGACATATTCCTAGAAAAATACAACCTTCCAAAACTCAATCAGGAAGAATCTAAAAATCTCAATAGACCAGTGACTTGGGAAGAAATTGAAACAGTCATCAAAAAGCTTCCAGCAAACAAAAGCCCAGGGCCTGATGGCTTCACAGGAGAGTTTTACCAAACATTCAAGGAAGAACTAAAACCTTTCCTCCTCAGACTATTCCAAAAAATCCAAGAGGAAGGAACACTTCCAAACTCCTTCTATGAAGCCAGCATCACCCTAATACCAAAACCAGATAAAGACAACTCAATGAAAGAGAATTACAGGCCAATATCCCTCATGAACATAGATGCCAAAATCCTCAACAAAATTCTAGCAAATAGACTCCAGATGAACATCACAAAGATCATACACCATGACCAAGTAGGATTTATTCCAGGAATGCAAGGATGGTACAATATCCGCAAATCAATAAACGTGATACATCACATAAACAAACTGAAAGATAAAAATCATATAGTCATATCAATTGATGCAGAAAAAGCATTTGATAAAATCCAACACCCTTTCCTGATAAAAACTCTCAACAAGGTGGGAGTACAAGGATCATACCTCAACATAATAAAAGCTATATATGATAAACCCACAGCCAACATCATACTCAATGGGCAAAAACTAAAACCATTCCCTCTAAGAACAGGAACAAGACAGGGATGCCCACTCTCGCCACTCCTGTTTGACATAGTACTGGAAGTACTAGCCATTGCAATTAGACAAGAGGAGGAAATAAAAGGCATCCAAATTGGAAAAGAAGTAGTAAAGTTATCCTTATTTGCAGATGATATGATATTATACATAAAAACCCCAAAAGACTCCATTAAAAAACTAATTGACTTAATAAATGAATTTGGCAATGTAGCAGGATACAAAATTAATGCCAAGAAATCCACGGCATTTCTATACACCAACAGCGAAACTATAGAAACAGAGATTAAAAAAGCAATTCCATTTACCATCGCACCAAAAAAATTAAGATACCTAGGAATAAATTTAACTAAGGAAGTAAAGGACCTATATGCAGAAAACTACATGACACTGAAAAAAGAGATAGAGGAAGATGTAAAGAGATGGAAGAATATACCATGTTCATGGATCGGTAGAATCAACATCATCAAAATGTCCATACTTCCTAAAGCAATCTATAGGTTCAATGCACTCCCCATTAAAATACCAACGGCATATTTCACCGACCTAGAAAGAACTCTCCAAAAGTTCATTTGGAACAATAAAAGACCCCGAATAGCCACAGCAATCCTGAGAAAGAAGGGTAAAGTAGGAGGGATCTCAATACCAGACTTCAAACTGTATTACAAAGCCACTGTTCTCAAAACAGCCTGGTACTGGCACAAGAACAGACATATAGATCAATGGAATAGAATCGAGAACCCAGATATCAACCCAAATCACTATGCTCAATTAATATTTGACAAAGGAGGCACGAATATACAATGGAGTCAAGACAGTTTCTTCAATAAATGGTGTTGGGAAAATTGGGCAGACACATGCAAAAGAATGAAACTAGATCACCAACTTACACCATACACAAAAATAAACTCAAAATGGATACAGGACTTAAACATCAGACGGGAAACCATAAAAATACTAGAAGCATCCACGGGCAGCAAAATCTCAGACGTATGCCAAAAGAACTTCTTCACTGATACTGCCCCTAGGGCAATGGAAGCTAAAGAGAAAATAAACAAATGGGACTACATCAAAATAAAAAGTTTTTTTACAGCAAAAGAAACCATCAACAAAACAACAAGAAAGCCCACGGTATGGGAGAATATATTTGCAAATAATACCACGGATAAAGGTTTAATCTCCAACATCTACAGACAGCTGATACAACTAAATAAAAGGAAGATGAATGATCCAATTAAAAAATGGGCAATGGACCTAAATAGAATATTTACAAAAGAAGACAGAAAGAAGGCCAAAAGGCACATGAAAACATGCTCAAAGTCACTAATTATCCGAGAGATGCAAATCAAAACAACAATGCGGTACCATCTCACACCCGTCAGAATGGCCAACATCAACAAATCAACAAACGACAAGTGTTGGCGAGGTTGCGGAGAAAAAGGAACCCTCGTGCACTGCTGGTGGGAATGCAGACTGGTGCAACCACTGTGGAGAACAGTGTGGAGTTTCCTCAAAAAACTGAGAATGGAACTCCCATTTGACCCAGTAATCCCACTTCTAGGAATATATCCCAAGAAACTAGAAACACCAATCAGAAAGGATATATGCACCCCTATGTTCATAGCAGCACAATCTACAATAGCCAGAATCTGGAAACAGCCTAGGTGCCCGTCAGCTGATGATTGGATCAAAAAACTTTGGTACATCTACACAATGGAATACTATGCTGCCATAAAAAAGAAGGAATTCTCATCATTTGCAGCAACCTGGATGGAATTGGAGAACATCATGCTGAGTGAAATAAGCCAATCAATGAAAGAGAAACACCACATGACCCCACTCATTTGTGGATAATAAAGATCATTATAAACTGATGAACCAAAAGATAGATATAGAGACAGTAAAGCAACAAGCAGATTGTCAAATTACAACGGGGAGTGGAGGAGGGTCTGGGGGAGACAATAAATCAACCCAAGGACTTGTATACATGCATATAAGTACAACCAATGGACATAAAACTCTGGGGAGGGAGGGGATACGTGGGAGGGAAGGAGGGGGGCAAAAAAAAAATCAATAAAATATGTAAAATAAAAAAAAAAAAAAATATAGGCAAAAAAAAAAACAAAACAAACAAAAAAAAAAAATCTGAACCATCTATTTCAGATAAATTTCCAAATACTCTATCCAAAACTTCAGAAATCACACATTTCTAGCTCAATAGTATATTATTAAAATCGATTCCAGTTATAAGCACATGAAAATAAGAAAGAAACTGAGTTAAAGAGAAGTCATTGTGCTTTCTAGAATGCCAGGTTGGACTTGTAGCTCATTATTTAATTGCTCAACCAGTGGCTAACTAGTCATACCTTATACATTCAGAGACTATCCTGACATGTGCCTTTACTGTTGTAAATGACCCAGGCCTCATGTTACTAGGTCTCAGAATTAATTAGAAGTGAGACTTACATCACTCTCATGACCTTCTCGAAGGTTGTATGTGAGGTCATGCTGAATGTCTTCCACGAATTTGTGAGCATATTCTGGGTAAAGGTCTAGCACTTCAAAGAGTCCTTTGAGGATGATACACTGAAGATCACAGTAGGTTAAAGCCTTCACATCTGCATTGGTCTTGATCACTTGGTCCTTAATTGATAGATTTGCTCCAATTAAATCCCCTTTCCCTTGAAACAGTGAAAAAAGAGACATATCACTTCAAAGAAAACAAGCTTCAGACTAGTAACTTCATTTCTCTGAGATTACACAAAAAGGAGAAGTGGAACCTTTATCTGGTGGGGGATTTCTCAATCTCAGTAGTGTTGGGACTTGGGGGTCTAATAATTTTTCGTTGGGGGGTATTCTGCACATAGTAGAATGTTTAGCAACACCTCACATTCGCCATCCTCAGTGGTGACAACCCAAGGTATCTTCAGACACTGACAAATGTTTCCTGGTGGGGAAAACTGGTTCTAGTTGAGATTTCTGTTGCGGAGGATAAAGGCCAGGAGACCAAGAGTTAGGAATTGTAGGTCATAGATGGCTTAAGACAGGCTCCTCGCAGGATTCAGTAAGTGACTTTAGACAAACCATTTGACTTTTTTGTCTCAATTGCTTTACCCATCCAAAGGAAATAATAATAGCTGAGGTTTTTCTGAGTGTAGAAAGTCTCTGTGATTCTGAGCTAGACTATCAGGAGGTGTATTAGTAATTTTGATTCCAGCACTTTGGAAAATAACATAAGCATTACCATCAGCTTTCTAGCATATTCAGTTTACTTTATTTATCTATAAATGTGTCTACCAGACAAGTGATGTTGGAGGAGGAGCCCTCCATCCTGCTTCTCAGAGTTGGGAGGCAAGATAACCATTGGACATTATAGACAATGAAACTTACTGCATAGAAATGTAAAACACAATTCTTAGTTCTAATGCTCCGTGACAGTCTGTAAACTCAATTTTCGTCATGAAAAACAGAAGCTCCTCATTTGTGCCACTCAGAGAGGGAGGATCTAATGCAATTTCCCCAAGTTATCTGTGCTCTCTCTGCCCCTCACTCCCCCAACCTTTGCTATTTTGTCTACAATACCTCAGCCTATCAAAATTTACCTGCCTAGAACTAGCTTGCTTCCTTGAATTTGTTGATTAGATACTAGTATACTGAGCAATTTATTTGAACCTTTAAAATCTTTGGCTTGAATTGACTCAGTTTAATTTAGCAGGAAGGTGAGCATGGCTGTAAGTGCTAACAAAAAACTGATTACCGCTTCAGATTTCTTTTAACCATTCATTCACTCGGCATCCACATGAGAAATAGGAAAAAAAATCCATTCAGTTCTCAGACAAACTTAGGTAAAAAACTGAGGTGATATGACCAAGTTCACAGAGGACAGTGGCATTAACTTAGGAGTATCTGCATCTTTGCTTTGTCCTCACATAGCATCATGCCTAGACTTCAACTTTCACTGTTTTGTGGTCACTTTGCTTCTCCATTTCAAATGGAAGCAATAACCAACAACTGACCAACCAAAACCCACCAAGCAAATAACACCTTCAGAATGTCATAGCACAAACTGTCCCCCTCCGTCTCCCATTCAATTGATTTCTAACTTTAAATTTTTGTTTTTTGTTTTTTTTTTGTTCAGAAGTTCTGGAAGCCACATCCCTGGAAGGTAGTAGGCTTTCTTCAACAAAAGTCTGTTTTACAGAATTTGACAGTAAAAGGAAGCAATGCAAAATTAACCACGAATACCTAAAATAATAAAAAATATGTACAGCAGTGAAAAGCTGAGCATTTAAAAATAATTGAATTACATTTAAGTATTATCTTCAAATTAATGTTAGATTTAAACCTTGAAATTGAGACTGCATGGCAAAAGAAAAAAGACTAAAATCTCTGTTTATAGACAGTAGGGAATGAACAGCCACATGGTGTTGAAGAATTCCAGTTTGATTCATTGCCATCACCAATACTGCTAAACTTGGACATTTCATTTCTTTCAGATTTTCTTTAGAAATCTAAAAACTCAACGTTGGGTACTGATGCCAGATATAAATACAGCCAGGATGCCTTGAATACAGAAACAATTTAAGTTATGAATCTATAAGGAAAATTGATCATGATATACTTATCTTGCTACCAAGAGCATTGACTTATTCTTTTAAGCAATTGTTATCTATAGAATCTTTAGGGTCATCATACTTTCATTCCTTGAGCTACCACAGGATGAGTCTTTCCGCCACAATGACCAGTTATAAAAACAATACCATCATCTTGCCTAATGTGGCAGTCTAAGAAAGATTCCAGTTTACTTAGTCACTCAATATTTATGAAATAATTGACATATGTGTGGGACCTCAGGTTGAGCCCTGGCACACAGGCACTGGTAATTAACAACATGACTCCCCCTCTCAACAAGTTTAATGTCTTGTGGATTTCTCACGTCTAGATTCAGGACCCAGATCTAAGTTTCTTAATTGCTCTGGGTTTTGTTATCCTTATTTCTAAAAGAAGAGAAAGATATCGATGGTCCCATTACAGTCTACATTTTTTCAGAATTCCATTATTGATGTTTGCTAATCAGTTATTCTTTCATTGGGGAAAAAGAGTTGATGAGATGCATTTACAAATCATCCAGGTAAGAGCAGTAACTTATGTTTAATTATAATTAGGCAGACTAATGCCATCTGTGAAGAGCACATTTATCAGTGCTTTGTTATTTTCTTTTAAACAACAATGAAGAAATTGGTGGGAAAACACAATTAACGGGACATGAAATGAAGGTGTACAAGGCAAACAAATTCTATCCCCATAAAGAATCCCTGCCTTTGTGTCAGCTGCCTCCCAGGCTTCAGATTAAGAAATGCCTTTGTGTATTGTTTGGATAGTGAGTTGTTTGAATAAGTTATGGCTTGACAGCTGTTTGGTGACAACTTCTTCCCTACATTATATATTCATTTTGTTGGCAGAGTGAACATGTATTAAATGTTGACAGATCAAATGTGAAGTCCTGTGTCTAAGTTTATCAAAGTCAGTATTGATTTGAATTGGCCCTATAAGACAATATTCCCACAGGTAAAGTAAAAGAATTAACCTCTAGTGAAATAATGTTAACCACACAGAATATTAATCACTTATTATCTTTGTTTGGGTTTAGTTCCAGTATCACATACTATTGTTTAGAATGATCATGTGGCAATTTGCATTTAAAATATTTTTGATAGTTACATGGTAGCAGCAAATATGTGAAAATGTTAATCATGAAAAACACAATTTATGGAAGAAATTGGGGCCAGAAGGAAGAGACAGTGGATGAAGTCTTTTAGCTGTAAGTAGATTTTTAAAAAGATAAGAAAATTCAATTGAATTATGTCTTATGAATAATGATAATTATATAGAACATCAAATCTGTGCTATTGTGCCCGAATGTTATGGATGATACATTCATATTCCATTACTAGAATTGTTGCTAGTTACTAAATTAAAAACAAAAAACAAAAAACAAAAAACAAAACAACTGCAATCATGGAAGTCCACATGTTTTAAAATGGTGTATTATTTTTGCTTACATGTATAGCAAACCATAGGTTCTGGAAAAACACAGGGTAGGGCAAAAGTAGATTTACAGTTGTGAGTAAATGAAACAGAGTTAATTCTTATATTACTTGTTGTTTATTGTACTAGAGGACTGGTGCATGAAATTTGCACTGGGGAGGGGGGCAAGAATTGTCCAGCCTGCATTCTCTCCAATCTGGGACCCCTCGAGGGATGTCCGACTCTTTAGGCCCGATCCCACTAGGCAGGCGAACATCCCTCTCACAATCCAGGACTGCTGGCTCCCAACTGCTCGCCTGCCTGCCTTCCTGATTGCCCCTAACCGCTTCTGCCTGCCAGCTTGATTGATGTCTAACTGCTTCTCTGCCAGCTTGTTTGCCCCCAACTTCCTCCTCTACCAGCCTGGTCACCCCTAACTGTCCTCCCTTGCTGACCTGATCACCCACAACTGCCCTCCCTTGCAGGCCTGGTGCCTCCCAGCTGCCCTCCCCTGCTGGCCATCTTGTGTTAACATGGGAGCGGGATCTTTGACCACATGGGGACAGCCATCTTGTGTGTTGGAGAGATCGTCAGTCTGCATATTACTCTTTTATTAGATAGGATAGAGGCCTGGTACATCAGTGAAGGCTAGCTGATTTGCCCTGAAGGGTGTCCTAGCTCAGGGTGGGGGTTCCCTTGGGGTTTGGGGCAGCCAAAGTGAGGGGTCTGTGGTGGTTTACAAGCTGGTCACACCCCCCAGTGACCCAAGCGGAGGCCTTGGTATCTGGGATTTATTTATCTTCTACAATTGAAACTTTGTAGCCTGGAGCAGAGCCAAGCCTTCTGCTTGCTCTGTGGCGGCAGCCATTTTTATTGGGATTTATTTATCTTCTATAATTGAAACTTTGTAGCTTGGAGAGGACATCTGGGCCAGCCAGGGCAGGTGGAAAGCTTGGCTTCCTCCATCTCTGAGAAAACTCAAGGCTCCTGCTCTCTCCAGCTCTGTGGCTGCCATCATTTTTGTTGGGATTTATTTATTTTCTATTATTGAAACTTCATATCATTGAGTGGAGGCCTGGGCTGGCAAGGGCAGGTGGAAAGCTTGGCTTCCTCCATTGCCAGGGAATCCCAAACCTCCTTCCTGCTCTTTTTGTGGCTGCAACCATCTTGGTTGGACTAATTTGCATACTCACTCGATTGGCTAGAGCGTGTGGCTTCTGGGTGTAGCAAGTGATGGCTTAATTTGCATATTACTCTTTTTTTTATTAGATAGGTGTTTTTTTTTTTCATACGGACAATTGTAAACCTACTTTTGTCCCATCCTATATTGATCATTTTCAAAGCAGGCTATGTCAAAAGTCAGGCTATAAAAGTTTTAGTGGTACTAAGGAAGTATAGGGAAAAGTATTTTATGATTAATGTTAAGTGTTTGAAGCAAATTTAAAAATAACTGTCACTTTTTATTTAGATTCACAGAATGATAGAATGACTGGCCTTTAACTTCACAAAGTTGATAAGTGGGCAGGAAAAGTGTTAAATTTTCTCTTAAGTAAAACACGCCCATACTGAGCCTCGCTCTAGTAGTGATAATGAACTGGCCAGGCTGTTAATCAATTCTTTGAGTTGCTATTCCATGTCTTTGTATGAAGGAATAAAACATGGTGAGTCAAGAATTGAGCTAGAACTTTGAAAGGCAAGCTCTACATTTCTTCTGCTAAGAGGTAAACTGAAGTTAACAGGAAGTGTAAGAAAAACATGGGTATTCACCATTTACTATCCTCCATCTCTTCACCTAACTGGGGAGAATCACACCAACCTAAGAGGGTTGCAAGGTTTAAGTTGGGTAATAGACATAAAACACCCAGCTCACATTAAGTATTAAATAAGTATTAGTATTTTTTATTTCTTCCAAATTCTATTCTACCTTGAAGCTTACTGGCTAGAATCCAGAGTCTGCAGGTTTACAATGATGGAGAGAAAAAGAGGCATTAGTTAGAGGTAGAAAAACCAAGCATAATAACTTTTATGAGGGCTTATTCTTTTAAAAAATATTTTTATAGAGAGAAGAAGGGAGAGGGAGATAGAAACATTGACCAGCTGAGCCCTTTACCCGTGATTGAGCCCACCACCCAGGCATGTACCCTGACTAAGAATCACATTGTGACTTCTTGGTTCATAAATTAATACTCAACCACTGAACTATACTGGCTGGGCAATGAGATCTTATTCTTTGTTGTTGTTGTTGTTTAATCGGGTTCTTATAAGAAATTCAGAACACCAGTTTGTGAGGATAAAGCCCATTGGTGAGAGCAAAGAGAGGATCATCTTTGATTTCTGGCAGAATCTGTGAATCCACAGCTTTCTGGTCGACCTTGTGCTATTCTGTAGCTGCTTCAGGAAACCACCTTCTTGCCTCTGTGGTGCCCAGTGAGGATGATCAGAATGGTCCCAGGAGGGATGCTGGCCTGAAATCTCCTTACGTGCTGACTGAAGGGTTTCTTGCCATGGCTCAATAGCGTTCGACGCACATCTTCAGTAGGATCACATCTAGGCATTTTGTGGAGTTGAACCACTCGGGTACCATCATTCTTGTCACCACCAACTGGTTTTGTGACACTAGCAAGAATTTTCTTTTTCTTTTTAATCCTGGATTTAACTGCTGAATACTTCCTCTTGTACAAGGCCTTTCGGGAACACATAGTCGGTAATATCTGCCAATTCCTCTGCCGAGGAAGGGATTTTGGCTGCAGCGGGGCTTCCCCTTCTTAGGTCCCTTCACTTTGTGGCCATCATTAGCCTTCTTGGCTTCAGGCTTCTTCTCCTTAATATCTGCTTCTCAGTTTTTTTTTTCCCACCCACCATCTTGCAAGATGGGAAAGAGAACTAAGGTCTGAGAGCTTACTCTTTTTTACAGAGAGGAAGGGAGAGGGATAGAGAGTTAGAAACATCGATGAGAGAATCATCGATCAGCTGCCTCCTGCACACCCCCTACTGGGTATGTGCCCGAAACCAAGGTACATGCCCTTGACCGTAATTGAACCTAGGACCTTTCTGTCCGCAGGTTGATGCTCTATCCACTGAGCCAAACCAGTTTTGGCTTAATGCATAATCACTTTTGAGCTACTTCTAGCACAGATAAAACTTAATGTTCATGTTCTTCTCTGAATTATTTCTCCACAAAGATACCTGAATGACCTCTAAAAACTGACCAGCCATTTTTACCAACCAAGGGGCAGTTATGCATCATGATTAATAACCTGGCTTCGGGAGTTAGAAATAATTATATTATTTTTCTTATCACAGTATCCCTGTACCGCGCCCTTATTTGAGGTTTTGCCTTGTGCCGTTGCAGTTACACGCGATCAACTGTGGTCTGAAAGAATTAAATGGAAATTTCCAGAAATAAGCTGATATTAAGCTTTAAACTGTGCGCCTGAGTAGCAAGATGAAGTCTCATTCTCTCCCACCCAGAATGAGAATCATACCTTCATCCAGCATATCCACACTGCATATGCTCCCTGCCTGTTAGTAAATTATGGCTGTCTTCATGATTTGATTGACTGTCATTGTTTCCCAGGGCTTGTGTTGAAGTAACCCTTATTTTAATAATGACCCCAACGTGCAACAGTAATGATGCTGGCAATTTGGATACACCGAAGACAAGCCTTAAAGTGAAACAGTAGAAGTTATCCACTCAACAAGGCGGGGGAAATCATATGCTAATGTTGCTAAACTCTTTGGTAAGAAGGAATCTTCTTTCGATGGAATTGTAAAGGAAGAAAAGGAAATTTGTGCTAGTTTTGCTGTTACACCTCAAGCTGTAAAAGTTATGGCCACGGAGTGTGATAAATGCTTAGTTAAGATGAAAAAGGCATCAAATTTGTGGGGAAAGACATGAATAGAAATAAATGTGTATTTCTGTAGGCATCCACTGGGGGTCTTGGAACATATCCCCTTGGGTAACGGGGACTATTTACTACCTGTGATACTAAAGTACTATTTATTCATTTGTAAATGGGAGCTGGGTTTTTAGCAAGAATCAAATAATATGTTGGATATAACACTTAACATAGTATAAACTCAATATGTGGTTTAAACCCATATGAAGGAAAATCCCGAGTCTACCTATGCAGCCACAATTTTCTTAATCTATGGCAATCCCCCCCTCCCCCAACCCTCATTTCATCTCTAATTTATGATCCAGAGTATAATTTTATGGAACTTTCAACTTTGGACCTACCAAGAATAGCGAGCACCATGCTGTCTTTAAGAACTTCCATGGAGCCTGAGCATACAAAGTAGATGGCCTGCAGAGCATCTCCTTGACGCAGCAGATACTCGCCCGGAGCACAGAAAGAGGTTTTAATGTGTAGAGACAGAGACCTGAGACAGCCCCGGCTGGCACACTCAAAGAGGGACAACTGTAAGATTTCCTTGTTCAAGTGCATAGTGATGTCAGAACGCAGCTCATCTGGAAAGTCTTTCAGAAGCTGCCAAAAAAGATGAAAGAGAAAAATCAAGTTGGGGTAAGTCTAACTTATTTGCTTTGCAAGTCAATAGGGATGTTCTTCCCATTGTTTGACCAACCAGAATGCAGAAGAGGAAATATCAATATGTATAGTCCTGGAGAGGGTTTTCAATGACTGTGACCCCAGTTATGTGCTCCTGAATTACAAGCTGATAAGAGGATTAGAGAAATACAATAAACTAATAAATAAAAGATTCTAGAATGAAATCATACAGCTCATTGTGACTTGCTTCTCACAAAGACTCAACTCCAGGCAGAAGTTATGGAATATGGTGTCATGATTATAGGAAGAGAGAAGAAATAAAATAATCACATAAAAATGTTGATTACTGGTGTGGTGGTGGTGGTGGTGGGTAGTTGGTGGAATGTTTGCTTAATTTATATAACTTTTTTTTTTTTTTTATATATACAGTGGTGGTCTGGGGTATTTCTGGATGTCCACAGCTAACACCTTTGCTGAAAAGCATGGTTTTAAATGCAAACATTCATTTAATTAATTATATTATTTTTTATATAAACAACTTCAAACCTACTTTTGTCCCACCCTGTATTCCAAATTACACCATTCAACTGCCATAAGAATTGGTTCCTTTCAAAGCAGGTTAAAAAGAATGAAAATAAATCCACCTTGTTGACTAAACTAGCAAATTAATATAAGTCACTGGTCAATCTAAAATAGCATCATGGAAACATAAGCCAAGGCAGATGGAAGAAGATGGATTGGGTTTTTAGAGGATTTAAAAAATAAAGAGATAAAGAAGTTGGTAGGTGTGTCTTTCATTTCTGAAACCTAGCTGAGAGCACCTTGCCTTTACCTTTTGCCTGAAAATGTCAACATGAGAAATGAACATTACCTCATTGGAATCTATTCCATTGTTGACTGACCAGGTTGTTTGGAAATATTCGAGCATCCTCTGCTTGAGCTGCTGGGGCAGGTGATGGACACGTATGAAGTCCTTCAGATCCTTAGTTCTAGTGTGATACAGGGACCATCTGGAGTACATCCTCTGTATGATCGCTGTCACATTTCCAAACACCAAGGCATGCATCAAGGCTGAAGAGAAAAATGCCACATAGAATGGAAGATAAATATGGAGGAGGAGCTAATCCCTTACGTCTATATTTACTGTTTGAATATCCTATGTTAGAGCAGAGTTTGCTTATGTGGCCACATTGATACAGCCTTTTGATACAAACATATTGGTTATGAGGTGCATCCTGATGCAGTCATTTTGATTCTATATGGCTTGATCAGACTAAAAGTATTTAAAAAAATAATATGAAAAATAAGCCAAAACCGGTTTGGCTCACTGGATAGAGCATCAGTCTGCGGACTGAAAGGTCCTAGGTTTGATTCTGCTCAAGGGCATGTACCTTGGTTGTGATCGATAATTTTCTCTCATTGATGTTTCTAACTCTCTATCCCTCTCTTTTTCTCTCTGTAAAAAAATCAATAAAATATATTAAAAAAATAATAACAAAAAACCTACTGCAACATCTCTGAAGACTGAATGATTAAAAAAAAAAAAAAGAAGAGAAAAATAAGCCCCTTTGACCCACACTTCATCTGTTATCTGCCATTCTGGCTATGACATATATTTTATTTTGTACTTGATTCACATCTGTATTACTTTAGTTATGTATAGTGTGATAACTATGATGAAAGTTTAATAATTCATAAAATTAGCTTTAAAGTTATAGTTTAATAGTTTTTTATTGTAATAACAAACACACTTAAAAAATAAGTCTATTATAATCTTTCTAAATTTTCAAAAAATAGAATGCCTTTCAACAGGCCAAAAAAAGTATCATGAAAAGTGTTTTATCACTTAACAATTTACTGTGGAATGGTTCTTAGTGAATCCTAAATAGAATTTTATCCCATATGGTTTTAGAAACACAAGAGTTTTGATGCTTAAATATTTTACTTGGAAGAAGAAACTCCTATTTATGATAAATACTCAGTAAAGAAAAGAACTGATTCTGTTCCAAGTCAAAGAAATCAAACACCGATTTCAGGCTCTGTTAATACTTACAAGCTAAGGGTTTGGAAGCCCTGCCATCTGTAAAAATAAGTAATTGTCTTTCATGGAGATTAAACTGAATACTGAGAATAACTTTATTTCATTTATTTTAACATTGCTTTCCTTAATTATGTGTATGATTTTAACTTTGCTTTGCTTAATTATAATGTGTGTAAAGCACTTAAAGTAAAAGAAGTATGTTCAGATCATTTAGCATCTTAATTGTACACTATCAATAAAATGAATTACTGGATTAATTGTAGCATTCATAAGTGTTGTGGGTAAGTACTCGTCTGAGTCACCATAATTTCAAAGTCTCATTTCAATGTAGAAAAATGCTTCTAATTTAAGTAGTTAAAAAAGAAAACCCTAGCTCTCAGTTTTTCAGTTTCCAAAGTTATTATTGCCTCTTTGTCACTGGTTATAATTTTCACATAGGCAAAGAGTGTGTGAAAGTGTCAGGCCAAATCATTCCATCTGCTATGAAAGTTTGACTCGAATTAACTTCTCTATCCAGGTCAGTTTGGGAAAGATTTTCTTTTTACTCCTGGCAGAGTTGATGCATATGATTCTTTAAGTAGGATGCTAGGCCTGCTGCTGAGTCTGTGGGAGGCTCTTTTTCTTTTTGTAGGAGTTTTACATAAAATGTATTTTGTAAAATCTCTTCTTAATAGCAGGTCTTTGAAGGAATCCCATTAATTGGGATCTAGAAGATTCTTCTCTCTTTTTCTCTGTTCCTTCCCCCAGCTGCTCTCCCTTTCCCCATTTGTTCCCTTTGTCTCCCTCCCTTATTTCTTTCTATTTCTCTGGATTTGGGGCAATATTGCTTTCCTGAGGTATAATGTCATTGCTGATTTCTTTGTATTTTTCCCCCTTTTCACAAATTCTTTACTGAAGCAGAGAAAGGTAACTTTGCAGTGGGAAAAGCCTGACAGACGAATTGTCTAAGTCAATATCACTAGTAATCAGACAAACATATTATTTTCATATTACTCATTGAAAGGGACACATCATCACTTCTCTGGTATCCTGATAGAAATGCATAACCTGGATTTATTTATAAGAAACCATCAGACAATCCCAAATTGAAGGACCTTCTACAAGAGAACTAGTTTATTATTTTCAAGTGTCCAGGTCATGGAAGTCAGGCAAAGACTAAGGAATTGATGTTCTAGATTAAAGATACATGATAATTCAATGCAGTGCAGGAAACTGGATTGGATTGGAGGTAAGAGGATAGCTCTAAAGGACACGATTAAAACAACTGGTGAAATTTGCATATATTCCCTATAGAATACTTCAACGCAAACTATGTATAGCCCTTGTTGCTGATTTTTTTTAGCCAAATACTTGCCAGTGTCTTCAGATTCTACATGGAACTTGTTTTCTGCTGTTATAAAATAAGACCAGAGTTCAGCCTTTGGGTAATCTTAGCTGCCCTTCTTTTCTCTCCCACCTACTCATTGCCCTGGAATTTTCCACTCTTTGCTACAAGTACACTGGGTTATGGTGGCAGATGGGAGAGAAAACAAAGAGTGAGAACAATTTCCTAAATGATGAATTTAAATGGCAATGTAAAAACATCTTAACAACAACCTGATTTTGTGAACACCATAGCCCATATGGGCCCAATAAAACCATTTCAGGATGAGCATATATAGGACGAGCCGACTTGAGGAAAGCCTTGACTTAAGAGTTTCACTCTACTTTATTCGTAGCAACAATGCCTCATCTCAACTGGACAAGTCCTCAGCGATGAGTCATCTTCACTAAGAAGCTTTATCTAACCTCAGAGGTTGAGTCAATGGTCTCATTGATTGGGGCTAACTTATTTTATGACTATTAGGCAACCATTACTAAGTATAATGAAAGAACTTTTAAAGGCATGGAAAAATGTTCTCCATATATTTTGTTTGGTGGCAAACATGCATAATTGAGATAAATGTCTGAGAAAATAGAGGCGTCCTAATATATAAAAATATATAAAAATATATAAAAATCACAATATATATAAAAAATATGAATATTCTCTGCCATCCCAGTTTCTCTTTATATACTTACATAATTTCAATTAATAAATTTTATAAACCCTCTTCTAGATAGCTACACAAGTGGAGTTCTATTTTAAAACTGCTTTTACAATTTTTATGCATTTTTGGGTTGTCTGCTCTTTTCTTGTTGACTTGCAAAAGTTCTCTAATGTGATAGCTAAGATAAAAGATTCCTGTCAGATGTTTGCAAATATCATCCATCCAGTGGTTTGCCTCTTCACACTCTTACTCAAGTGTTTTGATAAACAGAAGTTCAATTTAGCAATCTTTCTCTTATAATTAAGGGCTTTTTGTATCATGTTTAAGAAACCTTTGTCAAATCCAAAGTCATAAAAATTATTCTCTTAAGTTTAAGAAACCTTATTTTCTCTTTTACATTTAGATAAAAACTTATCTGGACATAATTTTATAGTACAGGTCTTAGAGTTTCATGTAAATTTGACCCAGTAACATTCCTTGAGAGCATCATCATTTCCCCTTTCCATTGCAGTGTTTCCTGTGCTATAAATAAAGCATGGGTCTGTTTCTACACTATCTTGTATTCCACTGGCCTATTTGTCAATTCCTGAGCCAACACCATACGTTGTTTATTACTGTAACTTTCTAATAGATCTTGATATTTGTAGCACAGATCTCCATTTGTTCTTTATAATTGTGTTGACTAATTTTAGCTCTGCATTACTACTGATTTTTAGGAACAGCTTGTCACTGTTCACACACACACACACACATATATATATATATATATATATATATATATATATACACACACATTTCCTGAGATCTTAATTGGGATTGCAGTGAATCTTTAGATTAATTGCATACAACTAGTATCTTTTTAATATTGAGTCTTAAAGCTATCACCATTGCATATCCTTCCATTATTTTATACCATTTATAAATTTTCTCATTAACATTTTATAGTTTCCTATGTAGGTAGTAGTGCACATTTTAAGCATTTATTCCTACTTTGATTTTTTATAATCCTTTAAAATCTTATAACTATTAGTTTTGCCACTTACAATTGAGCACTGGTTTTGCACCCAGATAATTTGTTCAATAAGCGTTTAACAAATGACAAAGTGAGGTTATCCAATTATTCCCCATATCTTTAGGGTTTGTGGCCAGCATAGCGCCTGTTTTTAGTGAACAGCAGGAATACTTTATCCCTTAACAATTTATGACTCAAAGTCACTCACAATAAGGTAGGTGGATCAATAGAGAATAACTTTAATTATTTAACAGGTCCTTTGAATGTCAGATTAGTAGATTAAGCCTTAAGCATTTGAGCATTTCCTAAAATTTCCACCAGGAATAGAAGACACATGGGCAAATATTGAATAAATATAGACTGTGTTTATTTGAAAAATGATTGTCATTTTGCTAGGCTGAAAGATGGGCCATGAAGCATGGCAATTATGAATGTTGTAATACTGGGTATTAAACAGCCGCCAGCGGGTCTGGCACAGGGTAGCTCTTCGGAAAATGAGAATTCCTGTTCTCTGCTCCCCAGACTATTACTACCACACATCAGCCAAGAGCCTGTGACAATCACTGCGGTCTCAAAATGCTACTTCAGCAAGCACTGCCTTTCCAAGAAATTCTTCTGATCCATGGCCCTCGTTTCTCACTGCTTCTGAACTTCCTAAGTGATTTGGCACTTAGCAATCACTGCCTGGTATCCTTAAGATTCTTTCCACAGCCCAGTTGGCATGGCTTAGGAGGTCATGGTTCAATTCCCAGCCAGGGCACATGCCTGGGTTGTGGGCTTGATCCCTAGTGTGGGGCACATAGGAGGCAGCTGATTAATGATTCTTTTTCACCATTGATGTTTCTATCTCTTTCTCCCTCTCTTTCCTCTCTGAATAAATAAAAACATATTAAAAAAAAAAAAAAACCCAAAACTCTTTCTACACATTTCAGCCTCTCTTCCAAACTGGATCATAAGATTCTTGAAGGGTCTGTTTTATGCATTTTTTATTTCACCATAAGTTGGATCACTCTGTTTAAAGTAAGGAAGCTGGTAGGAGCCATCCTTGATTATAAGGTTCGAAACTCAAAGTGATAGATGGGATTAAAGTCAGGAAGAGAATATAAATTAACAGGCTTTGGGGAGAATACTGTGGGACAATACATAGTGATAGAACACTGGTCTAAGAGGATTGCTTGCTTCATCTAGATAGACATCCACATCTCCTACTGCTCTGTGACAGCAGTCTTATAATTCAGTTATTTTCCATTTATGTATTTAAAGACACAGATAAGTATTCTTCTGGGTTCACACACCTTGCCTTTGTTACTTACTGGTTGAAAAGCATTGGGAAAGTTACTTTATTTCTCCAAGCTTTGTCATCTGAAAAATTGTGGATAATAAGAGTATCACTCCTGTATTATTTAGGAGGTTCAGAAAAGAGAATGATACTGAATACTTCAACAAGAGGGAATTTACTGTAGAGAGGTTGTGTTCCCTGGTGTTGGAAGGTTGAATGAGCAAAAAGAGTGGAGGGGAAACATGGCTATAACTGAAGGATGGGGCGTCTGCCCTTGGAGCTGGGTAAACAAAGGGATCAAATGGGGTGATTGGAATGTAGAAGCCCAGAGGAAGAACTGTGAGGAGTCACAAGGAACCAGGGCTCTGACTTTGGATGTGGGGGCACTCCCACCAGATGCCAGCGTCTCTGAGAAGGCCCAATGACACGGGTGTGGGGGAGTATTTGAAAAGGGGTATGGTTGGAAACGTGCGCTGCTGATTGAGAAGCCTTCCACCAGGTTCATCATACACATCAGAATCCAGAAGCCCCTTCTCCCTTCCTCCTGCTTTTCAGTCTCCCTCTGGCTCCCCCTACTGGCAGAAGTAACCAAAATTGGCTGGCAAAGAAGAATGGAGTTTGTTGAGTTCAAATCCCAGCATACAAAGCAAAGTACAGAAAGTACATTCTGTTGCACCTACTGTTTATTTCATAAATGGGATAATAATAGTGCTCAACCCTTACATTTGCCTTAATAATTACTTAGCATATGTGGTTGAAGCATTTAGCACAGAGAATGCAGCACAGAAACAATAAATGTTAACTAATTATTATTATATTGGTGTTTTTATTTTTAGTTAAGTGATCTACCAAACACCCTTAACTTATTCTATTAGTATTAATAAAATTTGATAAGATGGATCTGTTTGGGACTATAAAATGGAGTTCCCTGTAATTTAAACTTAGGTCATTCACAAACACAGGGGGTAAAGAGCATGGAGAGAAAACAAAGTGCCTGCCCTTTTGAAATCAGCCATCAGGTACATGGTTTCTTCTTCATCTGCCCAGAAAATGGAACTCTTTGACATCACAGACTTTCATTGCTAATCTCTACGTGTATTACAATGTTTGTCATTGATTGCTTAAATAGTGACATTTAATTGCTTTTAGACTCTCCCGATGTGAACCAATATATTTCTTTGTGTTTTAGGACAGAGCAACAGTTTGGCGGACACTCCTTGATTCCTGGGCCTAAATGAAGAGTTTCCCTTACCACCGATCAGCATGGTGCAGATGGAGAAGATCTTTTCTGCATCAGTATTGGCAGAGACATTCCCAAACCCAACGCTGGTGAGGCTGCTGAGCGTGAAGTACAGGGCTGCAATGTAGGCACTTCGGATCGATGGGCCCCCCAAGGTGTTGTTGCCGTAGTACGGAGACTCCAGTCTTTTGCCCAACTCATGGAGCCAGCCTGCAACAGAAGAAAGAATGAGAACTGAAACTCAAAAGGTAAAGTGTCAGTATTAACACATGGCCTAATGATAATGAACATTTAGGGGATGCACGGATTTGCTGAGGAGAAGGAAGTTAAAGGTAAGGAATTAGATTTCATTGCTATAACAGCAAAAACATCACTTTATTAAACTGTTATATGTAATAAAGCAGAGAAATACGCATTCAAGAGTGGATCCATGGTCAATGCTAAACAGGTGACTTTAATGTAAGAGACGATCTGTGGAGACTGCAAATAGCATTGCTACTCTCAGTAACTGTTGTATATTTCACTAGTGGTAAAGCTAATTTCTCAATTGGAATTTTAAGAGACAAGAAGGTCAAGTACATGTTTTTTCAAAATTTTAAAATTTTATTAAATTTATTGGTGTGACATCAGTTAATACAACCATATAGGTTTCAGAAGCACAGCTCAATAATGTAATGTCTGCATATTGCATCACGTGCTTAACACCCAAAGTCTCTTTTTGTTCCCATTTATTCCCCCTTTGCTCACTTTCACCTACCCAACCCCCTTTCTCTCTGGCTATCACCATACTTTTGTCTCAGTCAATGTGTTATAATATATATATATTATAATTTTTTGCTTAGTCCCTTCACCATTTTTTCACCCAGCCCTCCAACCACCCTCCCTATGACAGCCACCAATCTGTTCTGTTTCTATTTTATTTAAACTATTTTGTTGATTAGATTCCCCATGCAAATGAGGTCATATGATATTTGTCTTTCTTTGGCTTAGTTCACTTAGTATAATGATTTCCAGTTCCATTCATGCTGTTGCAAAAGGTAAGATTTTCTTTTTTATGGCTGAGTAGCATTCCGTTGTGTAAATGTACCACAGCTTTTTTATCCACTCATCTATTGATGGGCACTTGACCTGCTTCCAAATCTTCGCTATTGTAAATAGTGTTTCAATGAACATAGGGGCGCATATATTCTTTTCAATCAGTGTTTGAGTTTCTTCAGATATACTAGTATTCCCAGAAGTGAAATTGTTGTGTCAGAAGGCAGTTTCAGTTTTAATTTTTGAGGTAACTCCATACTGCTTTCACAGTGGCTGGGGCCATCTGTATTCCCACCAGCAACACACAAGGGTTCTCTTTTATCCAATATTTATTGTTAGTTAATTTATTGCTGATAGCCATTCTGACAGGTGTGAGGTGGTATCTCATTGTGGTTTTTAATTTGCATTTCTCTGATGATTCGTGACTTTGAGCATCTTTTCTTATGTCTATTGGCCATCTGTCCTTTTTGGAGAAGTGTCTATTCAGATCCTTTGCCCATTTTTAAATTGGATTTTTTTTTCTTTTGGTGTTGAATTGTATAAGTTCTTTATGAATTTATGGATATTAATCCCCTTCGCATTGGCGAATATGTCCTCCTATTCTGTGGGTTGTCTTTTCATTTTGTTGATGGTTTCCTTTGCTGTGAAAAAAACTTTTTAGTTTGATATAGTTCCATTGCTTATTTATTTTTGCTTGGGCTGATATGTAGTTGTCTTACAAGTGTCAGCTCATGTTAACCTTTCTAAGGAAGCCTTTTCTGCAATTTCATCCTACTGTTTGGGGGTAGATAGGAAAACTGCACAAATAAGAGGCACCTATATAGTACTGGATGCCTCTCCCTACAACTGGGTGTGTGTGTGTCAAAATCTGTCAAATTGAATGATTTAAATATGTGCAGTTTATTGCATGTAAATTATAGTGTCATAAATCTGTAAAAAGCTACATTAATAAAGGTGGGAAATAGTAAGTATGATATTAATAATAGAATGTAAACACAACACAAATATTACTTTATAATTAGAAATATTTTGCCTTCTAAGATTTTATATTTTATAGTACTCTTACTCTTCTTTTCTCTCTCTGTATGTGTATGTTACAAAACACTATGACATTTCAGCTCAACCTATAGGATTCATAAGACTTTTGTTAAGGGATGCTACTCACTGACCACTACTTTCTTATAAACCCTTCATTTAATGGATGCCCAAGAAGAGATGAAGTCATTACACTTATTCAGTAGTAATAATGTTGTCATTATCAACTAAAGGTAGAAATTATGGAACTGGTAATTAAAATGCAAATTTGAAACACTAGGAATTTCTTGAGACCAAGGAAAAATGCTTGTACTGTGTCCTATTCATCCTGCATCCCCAGAGAAGTGATTCTCAGCCTTGATCTTACCTTCCAAACATCTAATGGGTTTGTTGAACAGAGCCAGCTAGCCAGGTCCCATCCCTAGAGTTTCTGGTCCAGTACATGGGGAGGGTGGGGAGATGGGCTGAGAATTTCCCACATGATGTTGATTTTGCAGATTTAGATCACGTGTCAAAAACCACTGTTCTAGAACAATGGTTCTCAGTATTGAACAGCTTTTAAAAAATCCATTGCTCAAGTGCCACCTCTATTAATTGAATAAAAATTTCCAGTGACCTACACTTTTTTTCTTCTTTTTTTAAGTTCCCCAATACACTTTGGGTCTTTTTCTTAGAACATGAAGAGAGAATTTAGAACCTCTATTCCAGTACTCAGTAAAACACCTGACGAGTAGAATTTAGTAAATGTTATTTTAAAAAGTGAAAGAATTAATGAATGGATAAAATGGTTCTTGCCCTCTGTGTAGTGCCAGTAATAGGACAATATTGATGCAATGTAGCAACACACGTGGATTTTTAAATTTGTACTAGATTTATTCAGAAAGCATAATGACTATATGTTTGGATGATAGAGAAAAATTATAAAATGTTCAGTTATACATTATAAAAGATAATGCCATTAGTAACCCATGACCATTTATGTTGCCTGTTAATGTTTTATGAAAGGATAAAGTCTAGATTCAAACACAGATTTACATATGGACACTTCCATTTATAGGATGTAGGACTGTCTAACTTCTTTTAGTTTCATTTTTCTCATTTGTACAGAGTCACTATTTAAACCACTGTTACTGGCAGAGGTTTAGTGCATGATATCTACCTCCCCCATTTCTTCTGATACTTAAATTAGAACAGAGAAAGCACCGATTTCAGAAAGGCAAGAGAAAATATGAGACTAGCAGTGCATTAGAATGAAAAAAGAAGGTGCTGACTAAATGTAATGTATTTGGTAGAACCTCGGGGTGGCATGTGATACAAGCTAGCATTTCTAACTAATAGAAATGAGAGGGAGAAAATCCAGGTGACAGCTGTTCTTAAAATTTGGAAAATTTTACGCCCATTGGTGAATCTGAAGAAAACCTGGTCTTTTTCTTAGAACAAAGTACATGGGACAACCCAGGTATGATTTCATGTATTTTTCAAGGCTTCTTGAAGTCCTTTCATAAATGTCTGGTCCAAAGATTCAGAGTAGAAAGCTCAGCTCTAGAATTTTAAGTGAGGGGATGGAGGAAGTGATAAAATGTGATTTGGTAACTTAGTTTAATATTTTATGGAAAAAGATTTGAAAATAAAGGCAACAGTCAAGATTAAGAGAGATCACAAAAGCAAATCAACGGTGTACATTAAAAGCATTACTGAGATATAGATGTGTATACATGCACTGTGGGAAGAAAGACGAGACACAGGTAAAATCAAGAAGCAGAGATGACATCTGAATATATCATTGTACTCAGGATAGAGATTTCTGCAGAGCAGTGCTCTTCAATGCACTTGACCTAAGCATTGTCAAGTATGGACAACTGTGGGATGCCGAATGGCTGTGTATTGGCTATTTCTCATGTGTCTTTTGAGTTGTGCTTTAAAAGGGTGTCACATTTCTGCTAAACAAAGAAGTGATTAGAAGAGCTGTCTCTTTGTCCCATATTGGTCATTCCTGCTAATCAGTGGGTAGTCTGAGCAGCTGAAAAATGTTATTTTGCCCAGAGAGTAAATATTGCACGACCTAATTTTTGTTTTAGTTGGTGCATAGAGAGGAACAAAACCCCATGATAAAGCCACTGCTTCCTCTCAGTTGAGTCAGCTATACAATTAGACCATGAATTACCAACTGGACCCATCTATTGATGTTGAGCTGAATTAAATTGTTCTTACTTCTGTAATCCAAGCTTTTCTCATTTAAATAATAAAATTATTTAACCAGCACATTTGGTTAAACTCCTCAGTTGGAACAAAAGTGACACATTTAAGAATTTTTTGAATCAAATCAGTTTTTATATAATTTGATCTCCTTAATAAAATAGGAGAAGAGTTCATGTTAGAACATACAGATAATATTCTCATTCCATCCTTGTTCATTTACATATCTGTGAAACTGTCTCAGAAGTGATTCAGGGAGCAAACCATAGACAAATAGCAGACCTACTTTTGTTGATATCTTTTATTTCTAGTCAACTGTTCTATTTTTAGAAACATCTTGTTTTTTAAGAATGGTTGCTACTAGACTGTGTTATAACTGATGGAGCAGAGCAATAATGCTGCTAAAAAAATCTGGTGACATGGAAAGGAGGTAACACCCACAAATCCGGGGCCTGGCTCTGTGGGCTAAATAAAACTTTTTCACAGAACAGCTCGTCTGAAATGAGAACACATGTTCCACTGTCACAAGACAACATGTCACTGTACTGTACAAAAGAAGCAATTTAACCAATTTGGAAGTCGCTCTTTTTTTTTTTTTTTTTTTTTAAATGCTGAAGAAACTCATCTCTAAATGAAGGGATGTCCTAGAACATCCCTCTGTCTGCTCCTGTTCAAAAATTTTTTTTTCCTACAGAACATTTTGAAGGAAAAAAAGCACACACAACATAAAGTAGAATCTAAATATACTGAATACACTGCCATCTGGAAAAAAAAGATATAAAAGAACCCCATCCTTACTAAAATAGATTAAGTGAATAAAAGAGAAGATTTGTGAAATAAATATCAATTTCAAAGATATAATGATTCTTAATGACCATGCCCAGAAGAGCCTGTAATTTGGCATGATAATTCAATCCATTGCATACTTATCCTGAGCTCAGTTT